GCTGTATCCTCCCCTTTGATCCTGCCGTGTTACCGCATGTGATTGCATTACATTGCATGTGTGCTGTGTGAATGCTTTGCTCTTGAAACGGGTGTGATGTGAGAGTGAAAACCAGATTCTAGACTAATCAAGCCTCTACCTCTTGCTCGGTGGTACTTCTCAATCCACTTATCTCTCTCTCCCTCTCCCTCTCTAATCCTATCCAGCAGCCACAGGTTGTTTTACACTTAACTTCCTACACTCATTCCTTCTATGCACGATGTTGGCAGTTTTATTGATCTCTATCGCCTCCCTAATCTTTTGCTTACTGGATGATTTATTCTCTATCTATTTTCCAGCGATGGGCTATCCTGTGCGAGCCATGTTCGGCCAATTCCGATGTTTGGACCCAAAAACCTTGGCAGGCCAGATAACCTCTTTTATATGGGTCTACAGGTCTCTCCGACATAAGCGCTACCGCATGGATACAAAATCTTGTAACAGTCCGATCTAGAGAGAGAGAGGATTTTCGAAAAGAAGACAATACCGAGGACAGTATTATTTACTCTTTATAAATGGTTCTGATGTCCCACATCCTCAATAATTCACCTATCTTCTTCGACAGATCACACGATGGCAGCATACGGACTGTTAGGGTGTTCAGACCTTTCATATAAACTTAAATACGCATTTTCCTATTTGACAATATTCTAAAATAATTGTCAATCAGTCCTCGTGGATAATGATTCTTAATTAGAATTCTCCTCAGTCTTCTCAATTCCTGGTTCTGATGCTTAACATCCGCCAGACGCCAGACTTTACAACTCTTACTTTAACACCATAAGTGTGGTTGTAAAGAAGTTGAAAAAGGTGACCTGCTTCTGAGGGTTTTCTATACACATATCTACCTAATCTGCTTCCTTCTTTGCTAACTAGGACATTTATAAAAGGTAAACGAACTTCCTTTCTAACTCGATGGAGAATTTCGTCTTCCCATCTATCCTATTCATCAAACGATGTAAAGTCTCCAGGTGTTCTTCAAATTTCTCCATGTACTTATTTGCTAAATTGGGCGAAAAAACACGATCCCATAGCTAAACCTCGTGTTTATTCGTACAGTTTACTATTAACGGTAAAATATGTACAGTATCATTATTAACCCTTTACTTAACGTCGTGCTCATTAAAATCTCTACATGTTGGTCTATTGTGGATTGTAGGACCTGTACAGAATCGTCTAAAGGATTGTTAGTATACATAGACTCTCCAGCAAAGCTTGCCAGCAAACCGCATTTTCTATCTTCCGCTCAACGACTACATTAAAAAATTCATAAGGGTTCTTACCTTAAATCAGCCCTGTCTCAGATATTGCTTTAACTGGCGAGAAATAAATCGTGATGTTTTATGCATCAAGCTACCCTTATTATTAACAATAATTCAAAGTGGGACTTCATCTTTAAGTATTTTTGACAGAAAATATGCATTCGGAGACTTAGCATCTCGTTGAAGAAGCGTGCTTATCTTCCACTTCTCCAGTATCCCTTTTGCCACAATGCTACAGACAACCCCTAAGTCTAGACTTAAGGATTT